TAGCATGACAGCCAGGCACTGTAACGGTGTTACAGCTGGACGAATAAGTAGTGCTGCGCGCAGAGGTGGACCAAACAGCGACACAAATCGAAGAGGAGAAATTAGGGAAGCGGATACCCGTGGAGTTTGCTTAGGCGAAAGCTAAGGCTTTATTTTCCAAACACCAAAGACTAACAAGAAGCGGCCCGGAACAGCAGCGATTCAATGCAAAACAGGCACGTCTAAAAAGAACACTACTCACATGTTTTGTGAAAACTGTTTGTTAGCCAAACACCGGTTTCGTTCTTTTCCTAGCTACGGTCAACCAGATTAGTTCGCAAATGTGTATATTCCCAGAAAAGCGTACAATTTGGGTTCAAGTGGAATATTAGCTGGTCAGAAACTCGTGGACTTTGATGAGCAACAGCAAGAAGTGCAAAACCGTCAGTGGGTTGTCAAAGAGTTCTCAAAAACTTATGTAAAAAATGCGTCAAGAAAGTACAAACTAGGGCATCTCGAATACCGTAGCAGTTAGGCCACGTAGTAAATTAAGCTGTAAAATATCATAAACGGAAGACTCACCTGGAATACACCTGAGTGCCCTATTAAAACCAAATCAATCTGCAAGTAAGGCTATTTCGCGAGGGATGTTTTGGGGTTGTTAGGAAAGGCTTGAATTAAGCTAACATTAAAGTAGCATTCGAAAAAGAAATAACTTAACGGTTGGTTTTGGTACAGTCGTAAAACCGTCTTCCAGTCGACGCCGCTAGGGACTGTGTACACAAAATAGGGCGTAATGACTGCTCACCAGAATCGATGGTCAAACGCGGTGCATAGACGGACTTACAAGAAACGTAGATATCAGGGATGGTGAACGATTCAGAAACCGCCAGACATACACTGGACGTTGGACACAGATACCCGAGGACTGAAATTCCCACCGCAGAGAATGGTGCCCGATGAGGTGTAAATGGCCAAACATTCCAGCAGGAAGAGAATGGAGGACGCCTGAGAATAGCGGTTTTAGATCGCCTGATTTGACACGTGACGACATGTGGTTAACGGTGAAATTGCCTTGGTCTAAAGTACAAAGCAGAGTGGAATTCACTTAGTCATCACAACCCAAAATAAACTGTTCTAGCACGCTTCCGAACACACAGGACATGAACTACAAAACCCGGTTCCCCCCAACCCTAACTCATCTGTTCTAGGTGCTTGTCAGCCAGAGTAACCACAAAAATCTTCTGATGAACGCTCACCACCAATGAAGTCGGCTAGTTGAAAGGGAACACAGTGGTTGGTTCTCAGTCTGCTTCAAAACTCGATCAGCCGAGTCACTAAGTTTTTGAGTCGAAAGCGGAAAGTTACGGATTGTCTAGAACATTACCTGTGTACGCACCCAAATACGCAATGGGGACACATACGTGCTTTTCGTGTGATTGTCACACCATCCTTCCCTTCTGGTCTCGTTGATGACCTTGGTTGACGATTTAGAGGCGTTCTGCTAGAGGAGTTCTTCTTTTCACCTCCAATATTAGCAGGCAGTAAATGAAAAAGCCTCGGACGAATTTGATCTGGTCGATTGGTGAACCACGGTGATTGTGAATGATCACATGGATCACATGACCGAAGCTAACAAACATGAGATTAGATAAGATTGAGTAAACACACCAGCCTCGCCCAACTTTACCACCGAAACAGATAATGAAACGGTCACTATTTATCTAGTAGTCGGATAAGCGCACTCATTCACTTTGTATCTGTCTTCGCTTTTGTTGGACTATTTCAGCTAATGACCTCATCTGCTATGCACTGTTGGTAGTTGACTAGCTTCCAAGCGCAATTCCCGTCGAGAGCGATCTTGGTTCTCTCTTCAGCGTCCGATAGGTTGGACACGCAGCAGCATAGCAGTCGATCAACTAGTCAAACGTCACAGTGCCGTGTACAACAACTTGCCATGTTGAGGACAAGAGATCGGATGTCGAGGCTTCCGATAAGGGAATTTGAGGGATGCGTACGTTCGGCAACCCCGGTTATCGAAAGAATGGGTTCGAAGTTTTACGGTACTATTTACACAAGGGTAAGCAAACTTATGCAACAAAAACCAATCGTCTAATTCGTGGCGTCAGTCGTTGCACATGCGCAGTTCGATGTCAACATACGCACACCAAACAATGGTCAACGGAATGTTGGCTCCGTAGTGTGAGTGCGGTCGTCCCTTCCGAGGAAACTCTCGTGATTTTGATTGGTCGTGCGTTCTCATGAGAAAACAAGTAAAGGCGGGCTTAGCCAATGGGAAACGAACGCGCATGGGTAAGTAGGTCAGCCTCACTCATCCACATAGACACACGCTGATACAAAGGTGCCGAGCACGACTGCATCGAGGTTTGGCTGGCGCAGATAAGCAAAAGAAGTGGAGATTAAAAGTAGGTGGGTAGAGTAAGCAAACGAATGGGGGACTAATCACGAATTAGATTCAATACAACCTGTCTGCTTGAAACCATTAATGTAGACTGCATATTCGTCAGCAGAGTACCGACTTTCAACAAGCTTCCTTCAAATGCTCCAGACTATTGAAGTTTCTGGGCTGGAATAGGTACCTCGAAAACTGGCTCGATGGTTTTTCACTCTGTGTGTGTGTGTGTACTGAACGGCGTATCTTGGTTCGGACGGACATCTGTGGATTACGTTGTGGCAAATTGGGTACCCTAAACCACTACTCACCTACGAGCAAGTATTTTCTCACTGCACTTATTGGATCATGTCAGCTGGATGTATCTTTTACACAGTACAATATTCCCTATTCCAACTACCTTCCCTCATTTTCTTGTGCATGACATTGCACTCAGTATGCTACTGATCTGTTTTTCCGTTATCCTTGTTATGGAGAAATTAGGATGGGAAGTTGTGAATCTAAGATGATAATTCCTCCATTCGCTTACCTACTCCGTCCGTGTACTTATTGAGCTCCGCTTGGTTTGCTTCGTCACAGCCACCTTACCTGGCATTCATCTTGTCACTAAGGCCTGTTGTCGGATGTCCTTGGACTAGCCTGCGTACGTCTATGTATATGCCACCGACCTAAGCAGCGTTCCTGAAAATTCTGACAGTGATTTTTTAGTGAATCAGCCAGCAGCACCCACCGGGAATACATTTCTAATGAAAAAAACATGGTCCCACAAGTTCCGTTGCCCACTGCGTGAAGCTGCGTAGAAGCTGATCAGTCTTGCAGGGTGAAGGTTCGCACTTGATCAAGTCCATAAACAAACATTCTCATCTGCATACCGTTTTGGTTTTCATGGATGACTCACCTGAAACTCAGGTAAATCTCTCGTTTATGATCTTCTCCAACCAAATATCGTCTTTTAGTTGGTAGGATATTCGCGACATCACAATACATTACATAGACGTAAAGTCTTTGATCAAGCAGAATGTACGTTTGACGGAAACTCGAGGTCTGTCTGATGAGCCCCAAGAAGGGCAAAACCGGTCGTGGGCTGTCGAAAAGTTTTTAGCAACCTTGTGAGTAGTTTCCTTTATTTGGTGCTTGTTTGCGTCTCCTTAGCAAGTGCAGAAATGCCCATCAAACAAGCTTAGTTATGTCGAGTAACAAATGCCCACTTACTATTCAGGTATTCGTGCTCACCAAGGAGGTCGTGCTCCACTGAGTCATCGAACGCTTAGGCTTCCACTGAATAGTCACATCTAGATAAGGCATACGCGCCATGTAGGCAAGCTGAGACGCAGAAAACTGGTGTGCAACACACATGAGTAACTGCTCATCCTAATGTGACTGACTTTAGCGGAGCAACACAGGCTGGGTCTTTCAATACTAAAACCTTTCGGCGACATGAGGTCAGTAACCTACGGTTGTGAACAAGTCAAATAGGGACTGTACAGACGCAAACTGCTGTGATGTGCCTGGACTGCTGCTTATCATCAAAATAGCCCACGTGAGAATTAGGCCGATCTCTTTCAAATGCCGACGGTTTTCGTGCCATACTTTCCCGGTTCTGTTCAATTCAGTTCGAAATTCCAAACCCAGGTGAGCGTAAACGGTGGGTTGGGTCGCAGCAGCAGTGGATGGCAGGGTGAATGGCGAGGATGAACGTGGACGGTGGATGTGGAGGCTAAATTAGGACAAAAGAATGACTGCAGTCATCTGGAAACATCTTATTCACGTAGTCTGATTGACAACCTGAAGCTTCGGTTCAACCAATGTTGCAGTGTGAATCAAAGGATAAAGGTTACAACGACTGGCAAATTTGGGACAATCAAACGGTATCATGGAGCATACTTGTGTTTTTCTCGCCCCTCGTATTTGTGGTTAAACTTACTGTCAAATCAACCACTTGCCATTCAGGCAATTGTTCGTCTACCGAAATAAATTCACAAATTTCCAACAGCTATTTCAAACAACTGATGAAGGCGAAATATACTCCTTCGCAATCTAATTTCGTTCTGCGGGAAACTCACCTGGAACATAGCTGAGTCACTCATTTACGATGTTTTCAAGCAACTGAATGTGCTGCACCAGGCCGCCTCATTTTTCAGTCGCTACGATATTCTAGATATCGCGATAAATGTATATTAGTAATGCACTACTCATAAAGTGGCCTGGAAACATCAAATCCGAGGGATTCAGCTGGGTTCCAGGTGCGTCTCTCACAGAACTAAATTAGTTTGCAAATGAGTGTATATTCGCTAATCTCGTGCAATTTGGTACAAGTAGAACATAAGGTTGACGGAATCCGGGGACTGCGCCTACCTGATGAGCCCCAAGAAGGGCGAAACCGGCCGTGGGCTGTCGACGGATTTTCAGCAACCTTATGAGTAGTACGTTACAGTTCGCAACTGTCGAAATGTGCCGCCAGAACCTGCTGAGTACTTTCAATCATGATGGGAAGAGCAAAATCAAACGAGTTAAAAGTTGTGCGGAGAGACACTGGTAAACCGAAATGGTTTGTTCATCTGACCAGCTAGCTGCTGACTGGCGCCTTGTTTGTCTTTTTTTTATAAAGAAAACGAGTCTAAACATAACATTCTATTCTATTCTATCGCGCCACACTTTGTCGAAATTGCTCCGACCAAATTTCCAACAAAAGATTCATTCCCAGGGGCAAAAATACAGATCAACTCTGATCCAGCCAATGAGGGGACCAGGGCCAGACGTGTGTGTCACGCTACTGTGACCAGATTCACATCGCAGGATATTTCGACCATCTGTTATGTACACTTAAACAAAAAAGAGGCTCGCCAGCTAAGGACACCGAAAGATCGAGGGGGTGGGCGTGAAGATGGCCGATCTCAACGATACACAACAGCGGGGTCACAGCATCATTGAAACGTTCGTTGACAGGGCAAAATCGGCAGAAGCTCGAATAACCTCTTACCTCTCCTGCGGCTGGGCGGTTAGATTGAATTTTGTGAGCAGATATGTTAGCTGGAAAAGTAACCTTCAGATGGGTTTGAATTGGCTTGGAATCAGGTTTGCCGATAAGCGAGCGTACAGCGTTTAAAAACTTGGGATCATATTAGTGTTTTCATACGAAGACCAGGGAGAGGCAGAGAATCCTGTTCCGTTTTAAAACAATATCTACGAGCACAAGTAAAACAGCCTGTGTTGACTGCCGCTGAGTCGTATGCCTCGACGGAGAGTGCGTCATTACGACAGTCACCGTATTCCTGTGGTCTCAAAAGTCGGTTTTCAAATGCGAAAATAGTTGTATCTAGCCCACGCTACCCTCCAGAGTGATCTGCAAAGAGTGGTCGTCCACTGGAATTGGTTTACAAGATGTACAGAGTGTCTCATAATAGACACGAAAAATAATACCCACGTTAAAACTTTAACATCAATTTAAACGTTTATCATTTTTTATATGGACATACAAGCATTATGGAGGTTTACTACGAATAAACTGGCATTACGAAAGATGTTGAAACAAACCGCCACTTTCTTCTACGGCAAGTTGGAGGAGGTATGAGATGTGAGAAACAACATGTTTTACTTCTTCAAGCGTCACTCGTGCACACTCCTCGTCAATTCTTGCTCTAAGCTCCACCAAATTCTTCGGTTTATTTTCATTACATGGGCGAGTCTTGATCATTCCCCAAAATCAATAATCTAGAGGTGTGAGATCGAGTGACCTTGCGGGACAAAAGTTTGGAAATCCACGAGCAATGACTCTCTCATCAGAAAGTTGCTCTCGGAGGTAACTTCTCACTTGGTTTGAGTAGTGAGGTGGAGCGCCATCTTGTTGAAAGACGTTCGATGAATTTTCGTGCTGCTTAAGTTGCGGGATAACATGCGCCTGCAGCATATGGAGGCAACTGTCGCCGGAAACCGTTGCATCAAAGTAAAAGGGACGCAGGAGACACTTTGAGGAGAATCCCATCCACACAGAGGGATGAAGGGAATGGAGATTATGGATGAGGTACTCGTGAGGAGCTTCACGGGACTATATCACGCATCAACGCCATCCACAGAAAAATTTGCTTCATCGCTCCATAAAATGTTGGGAACGATTTCCTCATTGTCCAGCAGCCAGTTAGCGAACGTGACACGCTGCCCCTTGTCTTCTTCCGTGATGTTTTGTGATAAAGTGAAACGATACCGTTAGAGATGAAGTTGGCGTCTCATAATACGATGCACGCTGGCGCGGGGAATGCCGTTCAACTGAGGCACCTGAGTTATTGACGAAGATGCTCTGGGACTGAAGTTGCTCGGCAGCATTCTGTACAATGGGTGCTCTTTCATC